ACTTTCTAGTTGAAACAAACAAACAAACAAACAGATGGTAGAAAAAAAAAAAAAAAAAAAAAACCCGGAGCCCTGTCCTGGTTCTCCCTAGACCAGGAGGAAGGCCAGATACCTGGGCAAGCTCTGGGGCCCTGGCCTGGGAATCCCTCACCAGGGATGGATTCCACCATAAGCAAGGTGAGTGCGAGCTTACTTGTGCTTACTCACTAATCTGTAATTAAGTAAGCACAAGTAAACCTGTGCTTACTTTGCTTACTGGGTAATCCATCCCTGTCAGGGATTGTAAATTTGAAGAGAGGCTTTGATTCTGTAGGAACATGTTGTGGTGTTGGGAGAGAGACAGATGCCAGCCAGACCTAGAAACAGAACCTCTGATGTAGAGAAAAACTGAACTTATTCACTGCAGATTACTAAGGAAGCACAAGGAAGTCTGTGCTTACCTTGCTTATTGGGTAATCCAAAGTGCACTCATCTGGGGTTTGCTTTGGACACCTTGCAGAGGGTAAAGGTGGGCCAGAAAGCCTGTCACCTCTTCAGAGAGACCTCTCTGGCTACTTCCTCTTCTTTTTTTTTTCTGCAGAATGTTCTAGGAGCTTAAAGAAAATGCAGACCACAGCCTCTGCAGCCTAAGAGACTATTGACTCGTGCACTCGCTCCATTCTAACGGCTGACAAATGCACCAAGGTTTCCCGGCTGCTCTGCTGCTGCTGCTGAGTGCCCTTCCCTTGGAGAGAGCTTGCGTTCAACCCGGGAAACTCCTCCTTAGAAAAAGAATTATCGGCATCTCCAGACTGACTTAGTGATAAAAATTCACTGCAATACAGAGATCCCTTGATTTTTCAAAATGCACTTTAAGGTCATCCACACATTTGCAGCTTGGATAACTCTAAGGTTTTTTTTTTTTAAGTAAGAATTGGAGAGTATTCATTAAATGACTCCCTTGGGGAAGATTACTGCTAATTAATTAATTGCAAACATTTCCAGAGGGAAGGTATGTCAATTGTAAAGTAATAAAATTAGATAGTCGAAATACTTACTCAGCAACTTTGATTGCCCATTCGTTCCTAAGCAGAATTTTTTTTTTTTTTTAATGACAGAAAAATGGGGATGGGGGTGGGGAGAAAGCATTAGCTCTGTCCCTTGGTGATCCGGTTGCAAAGGAGAAACTACCATACAGGATTTATTGATTTTAGGCTGATTTATAAGACTCTGCGGTATCCATGTTGTGTGCAGGGCTTGCAGGCCTGGCTCTTGCCTTTACTCTCCAGGATTAGAGCAACAAGACCTTTAAAAAGAGAAAGAAGAGAATAAAAAGAACAGCTGTGAAGTAATTTGGGAGGCAGGACTATGAAGAGATCCCAGAAAAAGAAAACAAAAGAGCATGTTTTATGTTGAAGACACTTGTGTTTTTCTATTGTCTTCAAAGTTGCTTTATGGTTTTGGTGGCTTCTATCAGAATGTCTTCCAGGGAGGAAGGCCTGCCTCTTCTCTTCCTGAGTTTCCAAGCTTGGGAGACCTTGAAGGAACATTTCCTTCCCAGGGAGAGCCTAACGCCACAGTCAGCCTGCCCTGTGCTACTGACATTTGATTGCTACCCGCCTAAGTCCCTAAAAATGGTTATTATGAGAGGTGCCTGCTCATCCTGCTATTTCAGGATCCTCAAAACAAAGCCAACAGGTTCAAACAATATCAGCGTCGGTCTGGCAGAAACCTCAGGTGAAAAGAAGTCTGTTTCCTGGAAAGTGTGACTCAGAGAAGCTCTAGTGGGATCCGCCATCCTATTCCTGACTCTTCACGGACACGCACTTCAACCACCCAGAGCTCTGTGCTTCTCCGGCAGCTCATCATCGCTTTGTTCAGTGCTGATCAATTTCTTCACAAAACATGCTCACATGTATGTGTCTACACATAGAATTTTATTGCAGCAAGTAAACAGACCTATGAAATGCAGACACTCCCAGTTATATTTAAAAAAGACCATCCACGTAAAATGTTTTCAACAACTGGTACAGACTCTTCTGCTGTACTGTACAATATGCCCTAGTGGTTTCCTTAGCATTAAAACAAATGAAACAAAGTAAACAGTCAAATGCCCATTTGGAGGTAGCAAGAGAACTAATGCATATTGTTCATTTGAAGTTGGTGTTCCTTTGCTCTGAATGGCAGAAGGTCCTGAGCAGGCAGAATAAGGAATTCCGAATGCATGCATGTACTCCTCTCCCCCAATAAAAGGGAAAACAATCATACTACATTATTTTGTGTAAAAAAAATATCTACCATTTCCTAATTATAAAGGCAGTAGATTTTACAGGGAGAAATAGAACAACCCAGAAATACTACAAGTCGACTTTAAATGCCTGAAATCACAGATAGACTCTGTTATTGTGGGAATACTTAGTTGAAAAGTGCTAAATTATATATATATTTTTTAGTGTAAGTTTTTCAGTGACTGTTTTTGAACCGAGAAGAATGAAATTTCCTCAAATCTATGCATGAATGAACAAGTGCATCTGGACAGATGCATCCATAATTTATACTGATCAGTCACCGCAGGTCTCACGGAGGAAAGCCGAAATGAACACTAATTGTTTTGACGGAAGGCGTGTGCATGGCATCTGATTGTGGAGTGCAGTGAGCCCCTGCCTTGCAGGAATACATATTATCAACAGCAACTCTGGCTTCAGGAGAGGAAAATAAAAAAGGCAATAATTCCCAGATGAGAGTGTTGATGTCGCTTGTCAGGAAGGTGGCGAATAGGAAGACAGCATTAACTTCTTCAGGATCAAGGAAGAAATGAGACTGAGTGCAGAGATCGAGGTTTCTCCGCGTTATACCCGAGTTTAGAGTTAAAAATGCTAGCTTGGTAATGGTCATTATGTGCCTTTGCATTCGTACAGTGCTTGGCAGCTTTCCTA